AGGTAATGCCAGGGTGGGGAGGCAGGAGTGGGTAGGTGGGAGAGCACCCTCATAGAAGCAGGGGGAGGGGGATGGGATAGGGTGTTTCTGGAGGGGAAATCAGAAAAGGTGATAACATTTGAAATGTAAATAAATAAAATATCCAATTAAAAATTGGAAGATGAAAAAAAGATATTAAGAGTTTTTACCTGATTAAGTAGCTATTTCACAAAGGCTAGCAGAAGTGAGTCATTTTGGTTACCACAAAGATGTGTTGAACATCTAGCAATGGAAAGTTGAGTAACTTCAATTCTACACTCTATTCTCCCATAGAAAGACCTCACAGTTCCTCACAGATAAGTACAATTTTCATAGGCTGTGTGAACTTAAGTTGTACAGCTTAAAAATATTTTAAACTAATGTGCAATGTTATGACCAGGTTTGTGTGTGTGTGTGTGTGTTGCCCTCAATCTGTATGTACACAGAACTGTGGTCCAGGGTTCTGGAAATTTCTACAAGAAAGACCTATCTGCTGTTTTTCTTGTATGTTTTGTCCAGAGAAGCACATTTCTCACCAAACAGGTAGAAAAATCATACCTTTCCTCCAATTGCTTGTGAACGTAGGAGAAACCTACGAAATGACCATGGTGTCAGGATGTAGCACTCTTCTCCATCCCTCCTTCACTCATCCGCACCAGCTCCCAATCTCCATGGTCAATGAGTTGTGTAGGTGATGTCCTCAGCAATAAGGTCTTAGTATCAGGTTGTGAAGAACAACTAATAGCCTTGGAAGAAGCCTGGGTTGTTTGGGGGTTCCCATGGGACCCCTTTAGCCAACACATAGACTAGATGTCACCCATTTTCTGCACTGGAGCTTCATTAGATGATAAGGGATGTCTAGTTGGGACTCTGTTGTCGGGTCCAGCATGGCTGTATGGTAGGTGTGACAGTTGCTGTCTCTGGATCATCACCAGGCCATTGATCCTCACATGTGCTGATGGTTGCTGCTGCTCTGAAACTGATTTTCTGTCTGTTCTATTTTACTTTCAATCTCTCTTTCTGGGGAATACACTTCACCAATTACTCGGAGCTAATCATACCATAATAAATGAAACAGATGTGGTTCTCAGGAATGAGGAATGGAAGTGGTCATGAGGCTGCGAAGGGTGAGGAAGAGGTATTCCTCTTGGCCTTTAAGGCCATGGGAAAGGATGCTTACTTAGAACCTTCACCCCTATGGACTAGTGGAAGGTACTCACTCTGCATGCTACTAGAAGAGAAAGGTAAAATCACCAACCCAGCTAAACACCCTTCACTCTACAGTGGTGACAAGCCTACAAGATTTGCTGATTCAGTAGGGGCAAAAAAGTTGTGGAAGTGACCTGCTAATATATGATTGGATGTAATGCCCATTCCATGAGAAGGAACCTATAGCTAGTACTGCTTGGTTGGCCAAGAACCTGAGACTAGATAGGCCAGGGACACATGAGAAAACTAAATACTTGCTAAAGAAACATAGCAATAAAATGACTTCTAAGGACACTCTTCTATACTCACAGATCAATGCCTTCCTTAGCCATAATCAGAGAAACTTCTTCCTGCCAAAGATGGGAACAAATACAGAAACCCACATCCAAAACATAAGCAGAGTAAGAGACCTTAGAACATTCTGCCTTACATGAGATGTCTCCAGCAAATCCTTCCACTTAAGGCTCAGGAAACGCTGTAACAGAGAGTGGAATAGCCAGATGGGATGGACAAGAAAAAAAAAAGCCCTTCTAAACATAGGAGGATCACATATGAATGCATAGATATTGAGGAAGAAGCATGCATAGGCCCTAAAGGGATCTGTACCAGATGTGATCCTACAACTGAGAGACAGGTACACATGCTTCATCACTAACCCAGAAGCTAGATCCAACTGAGAATCACTTACAAATAAAACCGTGGTTGTTAAAGCAACAAACTATGCTTTCAGGGTAGGCCCCAGTCCCAGCAATAGATGGCTAACAGAAAACAAAGTCAAACTCAAAGGCATCTTTGGAGGCTCTGTGTGTCATAATGTTGTTGGGCTTTTTTTTTTTTTTGTACTATTCCTTTGTGTATTATGGCTTCCTGTTTCATGCTTTTACAGAATTTCAGTGTGTGTGAACCTGTATGTCTCTGTGTCCATATGTACTCATGGTTTTTCTTCAATCTTTTAATAATAGTTGACATTTTGATAACTTTATTAATAATAGCCATTTCTTGAACATTAAAGCCTGACAGTTTCTTCTTTATCAACAAGAAGTGTGTATCCAGTCTCCAATTCAAGAGTACCTCAACTGCGGGATTAACCCATCTCCCCAAACCAGTGATCTGTCTGACCTTTGAGGATCCTCTGGTCATGGCTTTGTCTGGTACAGCTCTACTCTTCTCTTTCATCCTAGTTAGGTTTCTGGTCATTCTGTGAGGTACTAAAGCACATCCATTGTCAAGGGCAATACCAGACCTCTAAGCTGTATCTTGATTATCTTCAGATGCTTCTGCTTCCTCTATTCTTCATCAGCCACCCCAGCCTAGTCATCTGTATCACCCAGCAAGTAACATTTGGACTTGAATACACTGTGGCTCTTCCCATTATCTTTTGATGGCGGTTATAACACCATCATTGTGGTCTTCAAGCTTCTAAAACCAGCAAGAACACTGTGGTGGCTGCTGGCATCAACAGGCTCTGTCATCTTCATCTGCTGTTTGATTCAACTTGTTATCTGCTGCATGCAGTTTTGTCTACATTTCTTTAAATTTCAGGAGAGACTCACATGCACACCCACCCAGGAGCTATCTTGGATTCGAGAAAACGTGCACGTGTGCACACACACACACACACACACACACACACCTTTTATTCTTAAAATGCCTTTGCTAACTCAATGACTAGGCATTCCTAAATCTTCCCCTGGCACCCCAGGCCAAGTCAGGGAAGTGGCTACCCTGAAAACTTAAATGGCTGGTTGGCTTTATCTCCTCCACTACTATGTCCCCTTCTCCTCTCTCCCAGTCCCAATTCTCAGTGTCCCGCCCCTTGTTCAATCATTGGCCACTGCAACTTTACTGATAGATCAAAAACCAATTGGGGGCAAGGACCTTCAGCATCAGTAAACAGATTCCTGATTAAATCAAAGCATCAGAACAACCCTCTACAGTAATCTGTAGAATTTGATGGGAATACCTTCTGTTTTGACAATGTTGTGTACTGTGAACACGAGTGAGAGTTCCTAAAAAGAAACTGTCTATGAAGTCTGACTGACTGCAGTAAAGTGGACATATTGGAATGCCCAGAGCCTAATAACAATTTATCCTGGGTTATCTTTAGCCCCTATTAGCCATTCCTTGTCCATTTCTGTTGGGCCTAATATACCATGACTAACAGAGGAATACCTTTAGGAATGTGTTAAGTAGGACACAAGCTTCTACCAACCCTGTCTTTGTCAGGGTTTCTACTCCTGCACAAACATCACAAGAAACAAATTGGGGAAGAAAGGGTTTACTCAGCTTACACTTCCACATTGCTGTTCATCACCAAAGGAAGTCAGGACTGGAACTCAAGCAGGTCAGGAAGCGGGAGCTGATGCAGAGGCCATGGAGGGATGTTACTTACTGGATTGCTTCCCTTGGCTTGCTCAGCTTGCTCTCTTATAGAACCCAAGAATACTAGCCCAGGGATGGCACCACCCACAACGGGCCCTCTCACCCTTGATCACTAACTGAGAAAATGCCCTACAGCTGGATCTCATGGGGGCATTTCCTCAACTGAAGCTCCTTTCTCTGTGATAACTCCAGCTTGTGTCAAGTTGACACACAAAACCAGCCAGTACAAGCTCCAATGTTAAGATTTCATCTGATAGCATCTAAGGCCCATGGCTGAATTTTCTGATTTGCCACAACACACTTTCTAATATCTAACTGAATAGCATCTTTATGTCTGTTCTGATAGTACAATACTTCATGGAACTGCTTCCACACTGAACCTGGAATTTGGAGTGACCTAAGTCTCAAAGACATGGTCTCTCATATTTAGCTCCAGAATAAATCTTATTCCCCTTGAAGTGAGAGAAGTCCCTGTGACAATCATCATATTCAACAAGAGACCATCTACTGCTTTCTACACTGTAGAGACACTCACTGGCCCTTGCTCCAGGGAAATTCCACTGTAGCTTTCTTGGCTAGAACTTGCCTGACAGGTACAATGAAGCCAAGCTCCTGGATTACCTTCCTACATGTCCAACACAGCAAGGGCAAGGCCATGGTGGTGACAAAGAGCGAATGTATCCATCCTCTAGTGCAAGACTTCTCAGATGAACCTCTGTTCCAAAGTATTACATTATTCTCATGACTAAAACTCTTTGAAAGGCTTAAGAAAAACAACAACAAAAAAAGATAGTCTAGGAGAAATGAGTATTTTCTGCAGTGTCTGGTTAGAAGCTGGAAAATCTATAGATTAACATTAAGAAACGCTTCCAGAGGGAAAGACTGGCAGCTCACAACCTCACCAAGAGAACATGTGAAGTGTCAAGGAATCTGAAAATTTCAGTGTTCATCCCCCTAAACTTACAGTTACTTTTGTGACAGATCTCCTTTCTATCAATATATCACAGCACTAAGGGCAAGGTCATAGAGGCAATGAAAGTCTTTTATAGTTCGGGGACTAGAGAGATGGCTTAGGGGTTAAAAGCACTTGTTCTTAGAGAGGACCAGGTTCCACCCCAACACCCACATGGTAGCTCACAAACATCTGTAACTCCAGTCCCAGGGGATCCAACACCCCATTCTGGTCACTTTAGGCTCCAGGCATTCACATGATGCACAGGCACACATGCAAGGTATTCATGTAAGCAAAACACTCATAAAAATAAAAATTTATTTTATGTGTATTTAATTTAATTTATTAATTTTTTATTATTTAATTTATGTGTATTCTATACATAAAAATAAAGACTTATACTTCAGAGAGGAATAATTTTTAAAACACACACACATAATGCATTACTAGATAAAGCTAGTTTATTGTATCCAAAGTTCCAACATAAATTTATATAAACAAGGCACCTGCCATGCTTGGAGAAGCTGCTGACTGAGTTAGAACATCATGCCTTCCAGTCCGTCCTCCATGAATTTCTTATAAAGTGCCATAAACTTTGCCACAAATGCTTCCAAATGATAAATGGCTTTGCTGCCCAGCTGTAGTCGATGCTCATAATAGGCTGCCATCTGTGCCACTTCCCCTTTCAGCTGCCCATCACAGTTATGTAGGAGTTCTGAGAGCAGGCCCTACAGGAAATACGAGTGACTTAAAACGCAGCCAAGGGAAAAAAAGGCCAAACATCTAGATGCTTCTTACCCATAAAAGGTAAAACTTTAATGTAGCTTTTATGTGTGCATGTTACTGATGCAAAGTATTAATTTCTGTATATAGAAAAGCACATTTTTCTTTGTGTATTCAGTATAATTTCATTTTGTTCACATTACTGTATAATTTTAATAGAAACAAACAAAACCCCATGAATGGCCTAATATCCCAAATCAGTCAATTTTGTTAAGAGGCCAGTAGGCCAATCCTACAAAGCCATCTGTTCCCCAGGCATTTAGAGTTCTATCCTCTTAGTTCTGAGTGGCAGCTGAAAAGGGCCTTTCCCTTTCCATGGCTGTGCGTAACTGGGTTCCGCTATTACTATTTCACCTTCCTTCCTTTAAAGACTCACAATATTCTGAAAGCTTCTTCACCTGTTTCCCACATCACTCGCTAGGACATACTATCACAACTGACGCTGGTCTTCCCTCCCTTCAGCAGTGGTCTCCTAATGGTGTCTGGCACACAGCAAAAAATGAGTCACTATCTGCAGAATTAACAAATGTTACAGATGATGATATACTTTAGCATTACAAAAGCTCTGTGATCACAAAGTCAGTGTCCAGGTTTAGCTCTGAAAGTTCAAGATGTAAAATAGAGCCACTTACCTTCATTATTATCTCGGGAGGAATACAATGAGTGAGAAGCTCATAGAGCCTTCCACGGACTTCAAGGAGCCTGTATAAAGCAGAGAAATTGCTACTTTGTGATAAAAAGGAGAAATTTTAATTCGCCAGTCAGTATAGTTCCATGTTCTTGATTTATCAGCTTGATGCAGAGAGAAGCTGTCTCCAACATGTCCAGTCTATCCCATTTTAGTTTGTCTGATCAGACAGACTCATTGGTAGTTCATACTGGCTTTGAATCAGTAGCCATCTTCCTGCCTCACCTTCCTAAGATATACCACCATGGCCAAGGATCAGGTCATTTTTTAAAACATTTTTTCCCCATACATTTTTAACAATAGATATTTATAACAAAGGCTATTAATTCTATCACTCACAACACCATGGGATAGAAACCAAGACTCCAAAGGCCTGATACAATATTTGATGGATAAGCTGTTTGGTGTACAAACCTGATGACCTGAGTTTGATCCCCTACAAGCCACAGTGGAAGAAGACAATAAACTCCCAAAAGTCATCCTCTGACCTCCACATATTGACATACTCATGGCTGCATACACAAACACAGACAGACACAGACATAGACACACACATAGAGAGAGAGAGAGAGAGGGAGGGAGGGAGGGAGGGAGGGAGGGAGGGAGCGACGGAGGGAGGGAGGGAGAGAAAGAGGGAGAGAGGGAGAGAGGGAGAGAGGGAGAAGGAGAGGGAGAGAGAGAGAGAGAGAGAGAGAGAGAGAAATTTAGACCTTGAAATGCAAAGTTTATAAGGAATTGAAGACACACACTTTCTGACATATCAAATACTATGTGTATGCATCTTTTCTAGACAGAATTTTATGCTTTGTGTATTTACAGAGAGGCTGTAAGACTGGGGAACCATCAGTCAATCACAGAAGCAATGAGGTGATATGGGCATAAAGTATGACCACCTAGTGTTAAACAATACAGCAGGGACACAAAGCTGACCTTCACAGAAAGGATAGGCCAGAGCTCTCAGTAAGCAAAGCCTGGCTAAGTCAACAGAGGTGCCAAACGCCTGAGCCCTTAACGCAGGCATGCCTCATGACACTTCAGGAGGGCATGAAGGAAATGCACACTCTGAATATCAACAGGAATAAATAAGATTCCTGAAACACAGAAAACAATTGTCTTTGCCTTTCAAATAATACATTACTTGATGTAATACATTACTTGAACCGAAAGAAAAAACAACTACCCAGGATTTGAAGGAAGCTACTGCAGGTGTTCTTCTCTACATAAATCAAGATAGTGATTTACAAGTTTTCTTAAAAGTAGACATCCAGACTCCTTTTCTGCTACAGCAAGAGTATAATACAGCAGTTCCAAGAACGTCTCACTAACCACCTCCACTAAGTGATGTTGGTAAGAATCGTATAAAACTGTAACTCATCAGATACCAACTCAAAAGAGAAACACACGAACTCTCTCACTATTATTTTATCTCAACCAGGAACACTCAGGTTCTCATGCTGCACGCAAGTCTATTCTGCATCCTAAAATGATCAACTCCCACGAGAGACCAAGGATGAGGCTGTGTTTCAGTGAGCCCAGAAAATGTCACAATGCAACCCCAGGGGACCTAAGCTGCCAAAAGTGAAACTACCAGCTGAGGCGTTTCCAGCACTGTCCACCTCTGAGGAACAAACCCGAAACATGAACAAAAACAAGTTTAGAGTATACAACAACATGGTGCTTCCTAAGAACTTTGCATTTCTCTTCACAGATCCTATCCTTGGACATGGCGGTCTTTTCTAGTTCCAGAACACTCTCTTTACTCTGTATTAAAGCAAAACAGTGTCATCAAGATACAAATGGAATTTTGGAAATCTGGGTGAAGTTGCCTGTCAAGGACATTTGGCTAAGTTAGGATGATAGCAGGAAGTCAGTATCTTTCTAGTACATTCTACATCATTTTCAAAGGCAATTACAACAATTACAATTATTCTTTCAGCCTGAGCACACTAGGCATTTCATGCTGTGCGCTAAAACTAAGCTACCTAACATCCTAGAAAAAAAACAGAAAGAGTTCAAAATTTATTTTACAAATAAAGTTCAATTTTACAGGTTAAGAGACTAAGGAAAAACATAAAACTACAAACTAACAACTTAGCCCGCTATATTTCAGATCTTAAATGATATTTTTTTCCCTTTCAAATGAGGCCCAAGACTTGTAAATGTCACATATCTCTGCCTCCCGCACACTGTTACCTCTGTGGCGTCTGCTGACTGACAATAGCATTTGCAGTCTCCCTCAGATACACCTCCCAGTCTGTCTCCGGGATTTCTTGGTCTTCAGTAAAAGGGTATCTATGAAATACAAAGAAAATAAATGAACAACAAACTCTCATGTCCTGGAGTGTTGCCTGTTGTAATAGCCCCACTCACTGTTGCACTCTGCAGGCCTCACACATAAGTAAGGCTTTCCTGAGGTTTCTGCACGACTTCTCGGCCAGCCTATGAGCCAATTTCGAAGGAAGAGCCAGACCTTCCTTCTTGCAGACTGTGGATAGTACACTGCAAATCTGTAAGAAAAATTAACAAAGAGGAGAAGCACAGTGAGGCAATTTCTAGCTAATGTGAGCACGATGTGGAGGCCTTTCACAGTGCTGCTCTGTGCTGCCTCCTACAGGACACATATGGTGCTGCCGTGTGCAATCTGTCAGTATCAACTATGAGCAGGAAAGGTGCTGCTGCATACAATCTTCCACTATCTACTGTGAGCTGGAAAGCTGTCTACTGTGAGAACCTGTACATTTTATTAGCAGCTGTTAGGATGACAAGGGAAACAGTACACTGACCCCACCCCCGGAACCAGAGATTATCTGCTTCCTCTATGTTCCCATTCCCCCTACAGCTAAGTAAGTCAGCTTGAGGCAGAAGACACTAACACTTCAGAAGACTTCACAAAGCTTGGTGAACTCCTACTACTCATCTGTTAGAGTAAAAGACAAAGAGAACATGTTCTTTGTTTGTATTCACCACCAAACACATCACTATCACTTGGCATCTAGTAATGGCTGTCCTTCGGCTCTGCAGCTGCCCTTCACTGACTGATAGGCCTCACTGTGTTTCAGAAAACAAAGCTAGAGCTCGAGTGTTTTTGGAAAACAAGCTAACTTACATCTTCGATGCTGGGAGCAGGCACGCGGACTGCCAGGCACCTGCTTCGGATCGGGGGGATCACCTTAGACGTGGAATTGCAGCACAAGATCAGCCTGCAGGTGGACATGTACTTCTCCATGGTCCTGCGCAAGGCATGCTGAGCGTCCTTTGTGAGTTTGTCCACCTCTGTCAATAATACCACTGGGTCAAAGAGAAACAAAACTGCCTTTAACTGGGGGCCACTGAAGCCTGAATTTCTACCTTTACTGTGTCCTCATTAATCAGCATAAAATCCTAAAGAGATGCCTGATAGTCTACTTTTACCTTTGAAAAGTACAAATCAGACTTACCAGAAGAATATTTTTAAAATTAAAATAATTAAACAAGACCAAGAAGGAAACATTGGTCAAAATGAAGTTAACTTAGGACTTTTCACTGCAGCCTTTACCGTTGGTAACAGAGCTGCAAGACACGGTTGTGCTGCACTACACCATAAGTTCTAAGTAATCCGTTCATACTCGGGAACTCTCCGTTGCAACAGTCACAGCGGGTGGGTACCACCAAGAAGAGACTATGGAAGCACATAGAGGAAGACTGCATCTGGCGGCACTGTAGGCTGGGACCAGTCAGTCGGTCTTAAGTGGTTCAGGAATGGTGCAAGGGACGAATCTGACTTTCACATTTTTTAACCTCTTATCAAGCTGTTTCCAAAGGACAGCAGTAGCAGCAGGGTTTCAGTTTAGATAGGCCCACAGACAAAGCAACCTCAACAGCTAAATCAAACTACATCCACATCTGTGCTGACAGGAACAAACAATGACATGCTTGAGTGAAAGAGAAAGGAGGAATCCATGACACTTGTCCCAGTGGTTAGGGCACTAAACCCTAAACTGCCCACAGGATACACTGGAAGTCGCAGCCAGTATCAAAGCAGAACTTGTGAGCAGACGCAGGTCACATAGGGCCCCATCTGTGGCCGAGAACACGGGACCCTGAGACAATACAGTCTGGGCAAGTGGAGGTCTCTAAAGTGCTAAGATACAGAGCCCAGCAGCAGAAGTGGGCCAAGCAGAGCAGCAGACAGACAGAGACAAGGATGTGGCAGGAAAAGCAAAGGAGTACAGACTGCAGCACAGGGCCATGCACCTCACTGCTTTCTGAAAATAAAACACAGGACCTCCTAAGGACCAAACCTAGAAAACCCCTCTCTGGCCTCCTACTTTCAAAGACTACAGGAAAATTTACTTTTTTTTAAAAAAATTCACATTTAATAAAAAAATAGTCAACAGAAAAGAAACATATTGAATTCAAAGGCCTACAAAATACATTATTTTCAAGTAACCATAAATTTAATGGAAAAAAAATGTTAATCTAACTTTGGAAGCACTCATATAAAAAGCTGGGCATAAACCTTAGTTCTAGTGAAGCAGAGACAGGTGCAGCCCTAGCACTCACTGCCCTGTCAGCAGAGCTGAAATCAGTGAACTGAAGGTTCAATGAGAGACCCCGCCTCAATGACACGATGAAGAATGAGCTAGGAAGACAAGAATGTCAACCTCCATCCTCAACACGCACTTCCCCACATGTGCACTGTATGTTGTTTCTTATTTTACATGATTTGTGATCCTGTTATCTTGCTCTGAAATGTCAAATAGGCACCACAGACACAAGACTGAACACCATGAGCAGAGACCAGGGCTACCACTCATATGTCTTTTCTTTCTTTTTTTGTGACAGGTCTCTACATACAGGCCTGGCTGTCCTAGAGCTCATTCTATAAATCAGGCTGGCCTGGAATGTACAGAGATCCTCCTGCCTCTGCCTCCTTAGTGCTCAGATTAAGGGTGGGTGCACAGCAAGCATTCATTTGTAACTCCACTATAAAAGAATACACCGACAGTCTCCAGCCTCACAGAAAGCCCCCCACCACCTACCTTTGAAGTCTCTTTGTGAGGTGGTTTCAAGCTGTTGTGACTGTGCCACTGTCTTCAGCATCTCCTGAATGACAACCCGGTCGCTGTTTCCCGCATCACTACAACATCAGAATGATGGTCACATGGCTGTAAACAGTCACCAAGTATTGCACTCTCCTTCTTAATCTGTTGTTATGTGAACAATATCAGGAAGTCTGCTTTCATTTGTTTGGTTTCTGTTGAAACTAGTAATATCTAATTACAATTATGAACCTTGAAACTTGAGATCTTGTAGGCTCAGTAACAAATTTAAATTGTATTACCACTAAAACCACTGTGTTCTTGCAGTAGTTTATTATTACTTAGATAGCAAAACTATCAGTTTAACAAATATCTGGACAATGCCTTGATAGTAAAAAATACTTGAAACTGCACAACACAGTTTTCCTTTACTTGCTACAGCTGGATCACAACATCTGGACACTGGTGATCACTTTCCCCATCAAGAACTAGAGCAGTCCCCAAGTAGCCTATAGGGCAGACACTCTTACTTTTATAATTTGATCCATTCCCAACCTTTTCCTTGATGAATCCTCTCAGGGTGACTCTAAGGTTCCTAGAGAGCAATCCACAGGGACTGCCACCAAAGCCACATACACAAGAGCTCCGGACTCCTGCTTCCACTCCCTCCACTGGACCCATTCCTTTACACAGACACTTGCCTCAGTGACATGGACCATGGTACTCACTTTCCTAAGGACATCTGACAACAGTATTTAAAAAAATTCTCTAAGTTGGAGGACAATGACTATAAACACTTTTTTGTTGTTGTTATTTTGCTAAATCTCTAACTACTTCTCTAAAAAATATTCAGGAGTGGTTTACCTGGGATTAACTTCAAGGTGGTAGTTACTTGCAATGGTGCTGATTTCAATTTTTTTTTTAGATGGAGTCTGTGAATGAAACAAGAATCGGTTCAACATTTACTTATTGTCTGTCTTCTTTTTATTTCATGTATCACCAAATCACCACTGCCAACTATCTACACAGTCTTCCATGTTAACACAGAAATAAAAGAAAAATATATTCACAGCATCAATGTTTCATGAAAAATTAATATACAAAAAGAGAAAATCTCATAGATACATATTGTGCTTTTCCCACTTAATAGTATATTTCTGCAATCCCTCTCAGACAACTGGTATGAGGTCATGACTGTGTTATCAACTCACAACATGCATGCTCTACAACTAATTATCCTTATGGATTTTCACATTGTTGACACTGTGAATGTCTGTGTCACCTGTCTATAGACCCATCAACTGAACAAGAAGTTAACATGTCTATAAGGACATGCACCCCTATAACTGTTCTGCCTCACGACGGGGCCTCAAAACACAAGTCAACTGACCATAGACTAGACTAAATCCTCTGAAAGTAGTGAAAAGCCACGACTCAAGTTGGTGAATTACATTTTGCCATAAAACTTGCCATTTTTATTTCCTAAAATGAATGCTTCTCAATAGTCTCTCTCTCTCCCATTGTCCTTTCAAATAAACCTACCTTCCCTTAAGCTAGTTTACATTAGACAATCTGTTTCTAGGGATGAAGTAATACACTCACTTCACTTATACTCTCCATAACTTTATCTCATTTCAGAAACGTATTCTCCATATGGAATTTAGGGTGACATCATACACTTTTTAAACATTAGGATTCTGACTGAAATTCATACCGTAACCTGGAACAGAGACTTAAATATTAAGCCTCCCATGTGAGAACATACCCTATATTTCTATTTGTTCAGTTCTTTTGTCTTGTAGAATATTATTTCTTCTGAGATAATTCAGCATTACCCTCCTGAAGATTCTATTAATAGCATGATCATCCATACTAAGCATTTTTCTCTTTTGAATACAAAATACCATTAAGACACTGTATTAGATGCCATGAAGGACTTGAAAATAGGCATGACATATTCTTAACATAACTTCAAAACAAGTATCATCTTGCTGAGGTAAAAGATAAAAAACCATAATCAAGTACGCTACACATCACCATGTGTAAGGAACTGCCGTTTCTGCAGCACTGAGTACACTTACGAGAAGGGCATTGCAGGGACTGGGGAATGGCTGAGTGAAATACACTTGTGTGTTCACGGCAAGTGTGATGACTCCACATAAAAGCTGTAGCATTAGTACAAATGCTACTGTCTGAAATATCGGGGAACCTCACAGAGAGGTGGGAGGCACAGACATGACAATCTCCAGAAGCCCCCAGGTACACCAGCTAGGTTTGGGAGAAAGCAAGGGACCGTCTTAAACAAAATGGGAAAGAGAGGACTGGCAGCTGACAGTTATCCGACTCATCCCACCTTCATAACACACAGGCACACAACTTCTTAAGTCACACACTAGGCAACCAGTGGTGGGGAGAGGTAGGTATACACATGACCAGGATTGAAAATCCCCACCAGAAACATCTGCTACGCCTCAACCTGAGATGCTTACTGTGATACTCTGATGCTCAATTCTCAGTTTTTCCACCCCAACACCATAAAGTTCACGTAGAATACACATAATTCTTGTCTTTTTTCCAGCACCTGATGGGCCATATACTAAGAGGTGGGGAAAGTCTCCACACTGCACCTAAGGGGGGGAAAAAAAAGAACAAGACATTTGCTCCGACTCAAACTGAGGTGAACCAAGTTAAACAAACCACTTTTAAAGCACCAAGATACTCTGTTTATCATCCAGCTCCAACAGAAGAGGTACCAAACTCTGAACACTCAATAAAAGTAGGAACTCCCTGAGTAAGCTATCTGAAGGGCCCGTTTGAAAGTAAGGGATGAGAGAAGGCAAAATAGATCTCTGTAACTAAGACAGATGCTTTTCTGGCCCGGGTTCCCCATAATAGTGCTCTTGCTCAGAAATAGGTGCACTGATTTCCTTGTAAGTTCACTTGGGAGAGACAGAAGAACTTCACACTCGATCAGCATTGACGCAAAGCTATGGAAAAGACAGCAGTAACAGAGTGCTATCAAACGAAAGAGTACTATTAACATGGGGACCTGATCTTGCCACTAGGAAACTGAACATTGAAGCTACTGCTCGGAAAACCGGTATGTGTATCAGTGAAGCATAATGTTCTATTTTAACTTACAGCATGCATCACAAAACAAAAACAAACCTAAAGCATATCTTCCACTTCACCCTCGATTCTTCCAAAAGCTCTCATGTGAAGGATAGCGGGATTTGTTAAAATAATTTCTCCTTTTCAGAAAAGACTTAGCTGTGATTCTGAAGAGGCCAGTAACTAAGAACAGGGTCCCGGAGCATCGTCAGCTCCATCAGCTTCCCATCCAGCGAGATCTCTGTGGCAGGAGAGCCTATCTGGCCCTTGCAGTGACACGGACGCCCGGGGCACACCCCCATCCCCGCCCCTTACAGCCGGTGCTTGCTCATTATTCTTCACTACACTGGCCTTCTTCAGGTCCCCACACCAAACTCATGGGAACCCCCGCAGCCAAAACACTGCACTTTGAGGAACTCTCCACTCTGACCCGCTCGCTAACACTGGGGCGGCCGCCTCCTCCCTTCCCCGGGCTGCGCAGGAAGCGGCCGAGCGGGGCGACCTCCTTCCTCCCGGTCGGCTCACCAGGTTGCGCAGCTGCGCTGCCTGTTCCTTGTGATAGTCCAGCCGGGCAAGGGAGCTCGGCCGGTATTTGTCCACCCAGAGGCTCATGACTGCTTCACAGTCCCACCAGGGGACCCGCCACCAAGACAAGAGAGTTTTCCCGCGAGCGCGAAAGGGTGCGACGTCACTTCCGGTAGCCGGCGACTTCCGGATAGGGAGACCGGGAAATCCAAAAGGGGCCTGAAATAATCGCTGCAGTTCCCAGTTCCACCACTACACCAACAGTGGCCGGATTTATGGGGCAGTGGTTGTCCCTTTGTTCTCTGTACTATTTTAGAAAACATTCGAGGGAATTAAATGTATCTCTGACATCCAGGACGTCCAATCTGAGTGTTTAGGGAAGGAAATTTCCTCCATTTCATTTTTTCATGTATTCACTGATTCACAACTTCATTCTAATTTGTGCTACATAATTTGTTATCGTTTTTTTAGTAATAAACAAACAACAGACGTTAATGGTCAATGAGCATTTGCCTACGTTCCTCTGTGAACTGTGTTCTGAAGTGAGAAAGTAAAGGAAATCAGAAGCAAAAGTATTGAAGGGCCATGTTTAAAGACACTGAGATTGTGGTCAGGGGAAGATCAGAGGTGGAGAGTGAGGTAGGTGTTACAGTGGGCTGTGATTTGACAACAGTGCCAAGAAGCATGACAGACAACTTCAATAAAGACAGATAGTTCCTGGTGGATCCTAGGGTATATGCTTTAAAGCTATGCTTTAAAAGATTGAAAGAATATGGAGAGAACATAGAAAAAAAAGCTCACCTAGGTTTACTTGTTTTCACAAACACAAAACACACATGCCCTCATTCATTTAGATGTCCAATAACATTTTGGTGTGTGTCCCAGGCAATATTTGCAATGAAATTAATTTTTATCTGAAATTAGATGTTAATTGGTTGCCCTGTATTTTTAATCTTACAACCATACTCTGAATTCTTCAACTTATGAGACCTGGAGAAGTGGCTGGAAAGGAAGGAGAGAGTCCTCATAGCATAACCAGTGGGCCAAGGCCAGAGACACAGCTCTGATCTGTTCCCTGCAGTAGCTTCAGAAGTTACTTTCAGACACCTGAAAGCTTGTTGGGATGGTTAATCTTGGTTGTCAGCTTGATGAGATTTGGAATCACTATAGAAACTATAACATAGGTATGCTCTTGGTGCAATAGAGTGTTGCTGCCTCTGGATTGCAGAGTTTGTGAAAATAACAAGGCCTTTCTCTACACTCCAGCATGAAGGGGGGCACTGAGTCCTTAATCTGGACTGAGACTAAACAAAAGGTATCTAAAGCTTTTAGAAACAGCTCTGGGGTTGGCTCCAGCCCTAAAACTTCTAGATGTCTCAAAACTTTTTCATCTGTTTGTCCATGAAACAAGACAGAAGGGTGTTTAATGCAAACTTTGGGACCATGGAAACACCCAGTGATATACCTGTCCAAAGGATTGGATGGTGTAGCCACAAAATGGCCCATCTGTCTAAGAGCTGTGGTAGCGACTGCTAGTTTAACATGAGCTAGCACACACATTAAATCTGGGACTAAATCTTATACTCACAGCACTCCATTATAAGCTGGAGGCCCTCCTCTGAGGAGCACCATGTGGTTTTAATATGCCTGGCCCAGGGAGTGAGGAGCACTATTAGGAGGTGTGGCCTTGTTGGAATAGGTGTGGCCTTGTTGGAGGACATGTATCAGTGTGGGGATGGGCTTTGAGACGCCCCTCCTACCTGCCAGGAAGCCAATATTCTCCTGCTTGTCTTCAAAACAAGATGTAGAACACTCAGCTCCTCTAACCGTATGCCTGCCTGGACACTACCATGCTTCCTGCTATAGTGATAGAATGAACCTCTGAAGCTGTAAGCCAGCCCTAATTAACGGTTGTCCTTTATAAGAGTTGCCTTGGTCTTGGTGTCGCTTCACAGCAATGGCAGCCCTAAGACACTCCAGGACCTTGGCTGTCTAATGCTTGTGTAACCCAGTACCAGGCCTGACCACACTTGAGTCCAGTGTGAGAACTTACAGTCATCAAACCTGATCCCCTCTTGCCTGATGACCACCTGCAGATACTCTTCCATGAAAGATGAAACTAGGTACATAGGAGCTGCAACAATTACTTTAACTGAAAATATTTGGGCCCGAGTCAGGTATGTCAGCCCAGAAAGCAGAACTGATTGATCTGACCCAGGCTCTCAGATGGGGAAAGGAAAGTCTACCAGTGTATGCACAGACAATTGTTATGCTTTTCATTTTGTGCATGTTCATAGTATGTCAGAGAAAGAGGGCTTCTCACTGTTGGGGGAAAGGAAACTAAATATCTGTTCTAGAGACTATTAGGCTTCCCTACAATTTACTGTCATCTACTTGTGGGCTGCTGCCCTGGCTGGCTGACAAATGGCCTGAAGTCCAATGAGCCCTATTCATATTCTTATATTATACCACGACCGGGTGCTTCCCAGAGACTTCATGGTAAAGAAGAAAAGGACAGCTCAGACCCACAGGGTGATGATGAAGGACACCAAAGGGTAAAGATCATTCCCTCCCTCAACACCATCCCCCCCAAAACCTGTCAGGACTCTGGTGACTAACCCTTATCAGTCTACTCATCTACGGTTCACAAAACTTTCTGAGCGGCTCAAACAAAGTTACGTCATTCCTAGACTAGACCCGCTAGCATGGGATGACTCAGCCAGATGCCAGGCTGTGCTCAAGTGGATCCAAAACAAAGAGACCTTACTCAGGAAGGGGTCCAAATGAGAGACCAACATACCAGCAAACTATGGGAAGACTGACTATTAAGTCAGTTTTTATCAGTTTCCTGGGGGAAGATGAAGGCCCTTCCTAGTTTTTATAAATACCCTTTCTGGATGGGTAAAAGTGCTCAGATAGTAGCTTAAAAAGCTCCTCCAGGAACTGGTACCCTGATTTGGCCTCCTCCTAGCAATGGGGTCCAACAATGGCCTGGCTCTCATAGCCAAACCTTTCTATTAGAGGGTAAAACTTTAGACATAAATTTAAAAATTCATCGTTTCTATATAGACTTCAGATTTCTGATAAGGTTAAAAAAAAGGGGGGGAGGTGGACATTAAAACAAAACAACAAAAGCCTATATCAAAACTCTTATTAGAATCCAGGAAAGGATGTATAGGACTGTTTGCTTTGCTTTGGTTCAGCCTACTGCACCCCGTGTAGGGAGGACGTAGCTCCCCATGAGATTATGTTTGAAGACCTAACTCACTGTATCCCAGGCTCAGAGACCAGCAGTTGGCAGAACTATCTAACTGTTCCTTCCTTAAGTCACTACAGGCACAGCTGTCCTCCATGCAGACTGTTAATTAGACTCTTCCAGAGACCACCACAGATCTCCTAGTATATAACCAATTTTCCCTCGTTTCAGTCCAGTGATGCTTTGGCAGATAGCCAAAAGCGCACAGAAACCAACCTGGAATTGACTGCACATGCTGATTCTCTCCACTCCTATGGCTGTGACAGTAGCTGATATAATTACCACGAATTCACTGTACCCAGGTCATGAAACTGCACGCCATAAATACTGCTGCCAAATGGACTGCTTCTGGACTATGTACTCATTGAAATTAAGGTCCCAGGGCCTGTCTATTTCCTTCCCCTCTATCAATTTCTAGTTTTGTGTTTTGTACTATATGTATGAATACAGGGTCTAGCTGCCACAACCCTCAGGTCTGGACTGATAACTGAGGAAGACAGATATAGGGAAGGTATTAGCTAGTGTAAATACAGACCAGTAACCCATATTCTATCTTGATCTTTATTTAATGGTGCCCACATTCAATATATAGGAATTTATCTTAAGATAGAAATAAAAGGTTTATGACTCTATGCATGTGCTACAGCTGGGCCCTCTCCCTTCGAGAAACAAGGGAGTATCCATTACAAAAACTGAGGTTGTAAAACTGAGGTGTCTTGAGAGACTACTTTTACAAATCCTGGCCTTTGGGAAGCAGAAAAGAACTGGGGAATCAGATACTATGCCATAGGAGAGAACCCTGGGGATAGAGTTAATTATTCCCGGCCAATCCAAGATTGCTAGTTATGCTTAGATATCTACCTATGGGTAGACACTAAACAAATTCTCAGCCCAATAACCTGTCATAGTATCTATGCTTAGATACTACCTATGGGTAGACACTAAACAAATTCTCAGCCCAATAACCTGTCAAAACTCACTGTGACTGGGAACAGTCCAAATGAATATTAAAAGACTTAGAGGGGGCTAATATTTGTCTACTGTCCAAAGCCTTTAACTTAGGCACTTACCCTTAGTCTGATTCACGCCTTATGGGTTAATCCATGCCTTATTTTGCCTTATGGATTAATTTATCCTGATTACAAAAATATTACTGAACCCCCGAGACTACTTGGTGGGCATGTACAAATAATTGTTTGAATAAACGTGCCTCTTCTGATGCTGTCAAAACTAAGTAGACAGGTTAATCAAAACCTAGAGCTAGTAAAGCAAGAGATAGTCTCTCTTACAAAATTGATCCTACAAAATTGGAGGAGCTTAGACTTGCTTCTCATAAAGCAATGTCTGGTCTGGGGGAAAAAACTGTTGTTTTTATGCTAACTGATCAGGAATCATTTAAAAATCTCTTGCTATGGTTAAAAGAATGAGAGAGAAAGAGAGAGGAAGAGGAAGAGAGAGAGGGAGA